GAATTCTATGTTTTAACAAAACCATGGAAATCTAACTTAAAATCATACAAGACCAAGTAGGTGAGCTTTATTCATGCCAAGATTTGAAGGATTCCTCTTGTTAGGGTTTGTAACACAACTTACTCTACCTAATCTCTCATTCTCTCCTTAAATTCCATGAGTTCAAGATGAAAATTATTCTCATGTAAGAAATTAGGAAGAATTCTTACCTCAACGAGTTAATTTAGTGAAGTTCCTTTAAGTTCCCTTCTTCTCCCTTTCTTTCTCTTCTTCTCTCATTGTTCTCTAGAATACTCTCTCTCTCCCCTCAAAGATTGCTAAAGAACTTAGAGATTTTGGCTTAGAACTTCCAACAATTGATCATCTAGGGCATCATTGACAAGCCTAGGTAAGAAGTCAACCTTTAGATTGCACAATTATGATGTGTAGGACAGGAACTCTAGAGAATTATATTGGATAATACAAGGATGGAGTTAGAAATGAAGAGAATTGAATCATGTCATGCATGCATGCATATATCATGATATCTTGAGTAGATTTCTAAAGAATGTTCACATCCATATGTCTATCTTAACTTGGTTTTGAGAATTCATCACATTTCTTACCATTTGACTTTAATTGATCATGTTTTGGAAAGCTTAAGTTCAAAGTAATTCATGTATGTCATGTTCATGGCATATTCATAAATTTCAAGTTGGAGTTTTGATCAATTAGTATGCTTTGGGGCCTTAATTTAGTGAAATGATTTTCAAATCATAGTATTTTACGAGTTTCTACGTGTTTTCTAGAATTTTGGCCCAAAAAGATGAGTTTTGAAGTGTGTAATTTGAGTTTGGAGCTTGGGAGTACAATATGAAAATTTTAGATTTTGCACTTCTTTAAGCGGCATAATCTGCGCTCGAGGGACTACTTTGTGATCTTACACTTCACACTCGAACGACCGGAAGCTTGCTCGAGCGAGAAATGCAAGCTCTCAGAAGGTTTCACATTTTGCAGATTGCTCGAGCGACATACGTTACGCTCGAACGGGGACCTCAATATCACACTTGAGCGACCATTGAACGGCCATCGAGCAAAGGTTTCACATAACCAGTACTTTTGCAGAATTTATAGACCACTCGAGTGAGGGAATTTGCGCTCGAGCGACCTCTCATATGTTTGCATGTTCGCTCGAGCGAGGGAAGTTGCGCTCGAGCATGACCCCTGTTTTCAGCAAGTTTTGTTAAGAGTTCCAAAGTGCATTTTGGAATCCACATTTCATCCTAGGCATTCCTAGGCTATGATTAGGGCTCAATAAGAGGATAAGACCTTGAAACACACTAAGGACAAAACGAAGAAGTTAAGTACCAATCAAGTGTATGTTTTATTATGTGTTTCTATTGTGTGTGTGTAGGTCACGCCCCATAAGTTGTCTGACTTGTCTACTCTGCAAGTGGAGCCATCTGTGAGTAATAACTTTGTAAAGCTATGTTCATGTTAAAGTATTTTCTTATATGATATGATAAGAAATAATCAGCTTTCTGAAATGCTATGTTCTGTATCAATGAATGAATGTCCAGTTTTTGACAAGTATGCGTGACATCCTTAGCACAAGGCCCTCGCCCAGGGGTAATAATACCGTGGTTTACAAGTACAAGGCCTTTGTCCGAGGGTAACAATATTGTAACACCCATCTCTTAATTAGCTGTTAATTTTATGGTTAATCTTAATTATGTATTTATGCGTGCATTTTATGTTTATTTATATGTTATGTGCACCATGTTTTGTTTGACAGATACGCTAATTTGTGAAAAAGACTTGTCTAATTTGTTAAACTGTAAGGTTGCCAATTAACTAATGGACTCGGTGGGTAGAACCTAATTTCCCTTAAAGTAGGGTTCAGCTAACTTAAGTGCCAGTAAGAAATAATTTAATTAATTAGATAATTAATTCAAATGATGTGGTTCTAATTTCATTAATTCACGTTAAGTAAAATTAGATAATTTTTATATCTATGATGAACTCAAATAAAAGAGAGAGGGATATAATCTGAGAGAGAGAGAGAGAGAGAGAGAGAGAGTATTCTAGAGAACATGGAGAGAAGAAGAGAAAGAAAAGGAGAAGAAGGGAACTTGAAGCAACTTCACTAAATTAACTCATTGAGGTAAGAATTCTTCCTAATTTCTTGCATGAGAATAATTTTCATCTTGAACTCATGGAATTTAAGGAGAAAATGAGGGATTAGGTAGTGTAAGTTGTGTTACAAACCCTAACAAGAGGAATCGGTCAAATCTTGGCATGAATAAAGCTCATCCACTTGGTCTTGCATGATTTTAAGTTAGATTTCCACGGTTTTGTTAAAACATAGAATTCCCATATGCATAGGTTTTGTTTTCTTCTCAACTTTAAAGTTGTTCATGTGATTGTAGGACTTGGGTTTGAATTTAAAGTCCTATTCTTGGTTTGAACTTGGTATTTGTCTATACACCATGTTTGATAACTTTTGGGCTTTGATTTGGTCAAATTGGGTTTAAGTTTTGAAGAGGAAGAGCTCACAAAAACATAGCAGAATTTTCGATATTGGATACCTAAAACCGCACGTGCGGTAGGGGTAATCGCATTTGAGCTCAAACTTCTCTTCTTTCTCTCTCCCATGTTTGGTTTGTGTGTGTAAGCTCAAAGATGTGTTGAGATGAAGAAAAAGAATGAGTGGAGGCACATATGGGAGCCTTATATAGGCTTGGTTAATGGTTTAATTAAATTGTTGATTTACTAATCAATTGAATATTAAATTATGCTAATTTAATCGTTCTGAATCGAATTCTAATTAAATCTACCATAATGTTCTAAAAATCCTAAATAGCACATAAATCGAGTCAATTTCATGATTGGATGTCGATGAGGCATTCAATTCGCAAGAAGAAACAGAAATGCGAACAGATCTTTCTACGATAAACAGATATAAGCACAATAATGCGACACACACACATGCAATTAAAGTCAGAATTTCATTAATTATTGATTAGGCTTATTTAATCATGAATTAACATTAATTAGAGGTCGGGGTTGTTACATGGTCGGTAGGTAATTTGTCTTTCAATATAGGCCAGAGGAAACACTTTTTTCTGAGGAAATTACAATTTCTAGATCCATTTCCAATCTCTGCCATCTCCTTCTTGAGTAGTGATAGCTTTGCAAGCAGAAACAGTGGTAAAAATACCACTAGTGAACCCATTATAAGAGGCGGCATCTGGGTAGGTCACAAATTTGGGCCTATAGATCTTTATGATCTCTTGGAGGTCCTGTTGGTTTACAAGGTTGGCAAGGATATCAGTGTCCCAATTCCCTTCATTATCAAGAACATTGCTGACCTTGGTTGAATCATTGATGTGACTGGGGTTATAATTTTTAGCCAGTGGTTGTGTTCTACAGCACCAATCATTCCAAAATGAGATAGTATCACCATTGCCTACTCTCCACTTAACATAATTTCTAAGGGTATCTCTAGTGTGACAGATACTCTTTCAAATATGGGATGAAGTCTTCTTCTGGGGCCAGCTGAAGAAAGAATGATTTTTCAAATATTTGGATTAAAGGATTTAGCACCAGAGTTTGCTATTATCACTCAGTAAAGTCCACTCAAGTTTGGTAAGGAAGGCTGAATTTTGCCCTCTAGTTTTTCTAATTCCAAGGCCATCATCTTCTTTACTTTTGCATACACTATCCCAGTTGACAAGATGTATTTTCCTTTTATTCTCAATATCTCCCCATAGGAAATTCCTATTGATTTTGTCTATTTTATCACAAATTTTCCTAGGGAGTTCCATAGTTTGCATATTGTAGGAAGGGATAGCAAAAGTAACTGATTGAATGAGAGTAATCCTACCTGTAAAGGAGAGGTTTTTAGCTTTCCAACATGATAATCTAGACTTCAGCTTCTCAAGAATTTCATTGAAAATATGTTTGCTAATCCTTGTGTGAAGGAGAGGAGATCCCAAATACTTACCAAGGTCTTAAGTAAGGGGGATACCATATTGGTTTCATAAAGACCTGGCTTAGGTAGAAGAGAGGTTGGGAGAAACAAAGATTTTGGATTTCAAATGGTTAATTTTCTGACCAGAGATCTCACAGAAGTCATTGAGAACATCCATAACAGTTTCACAGTTGGAGTGGTCAGCTTTAGCAAACAAAATAAGATCGTCAACGAAAAACAAATGGGATAGAGGGGGCCTAATCCTAGAAGCTTGGATTCCATGCCATGATCTCTCACTCACTTTAAGGTTTTTCATGTTGGATAACCTTTCCATACAAAGCACAAATAGGTAGGGTGATAGGGGATCACCTTGTCTAAGTCCTCGCTCAATAGGAATGCCATCCAGAATTTCACCATTCCAGAGAATAGAAGATTTGGTATTAGTAACACAGCATATAATCAATTCCACCCATTGTTCATTGAGTTTAAATTCATACCAAGTATCTCTAATGAAGTCCCATGAGAGTCTGTCATAGGCTTTTTTCAAATCAATTTTAAAAATCATACCTCCCTTCTTGCCTTTTTTGTTTCTCAAAGTATGAAGGATCTCTTGGGTGATAATAATGTTATCAGTTGTGTTTCTCCCAGGTATGAAGCTACTTTGGTTAGGACAGATGATTTTATCAAGGAGAGGTCTAATTCTACCCACAATTAGCTTAGTAATGATCTTATAGGAGACATTGCAAAGGCTAATGGGTCTAAATTGTTTAATGTTCTCAGGATTGTCAACTTTGGGAATCAACACAATTAAGGTCTCATTAATAGTATTGGGGATGTTGGTTTTATGGAAGCAATCCATGACAAAATCACAAACAGACTTACCCACAGTGTGCCAATATTTCTATTAGAAGATGGCTTACATACCATCCTTTCCTCGTGTTTTGAAGGCCCCAATATTCTTAACAGGTCTCAAGATTTCAGTATTGGAGATAGGTTTGAGGAAATCAACATTATCCTCAATGGTAAAATAGATGGGAGCAATATTTCTCTAATGGCTAAGAATGTGAATGCCAGTTTTCTTGAAGAGGTCAGAGAAATAGTTCAAGATAATGGACTTGATTCCCTCTATCTCTGTGATCCAGTTTCCATCAGAATCTTTAAGGGCATTAATTTTAAGTTTCCTCCTCTTGTTTATGGTAGAAACATGGAAATATCTGCTGTTTTTATCACCAAGGGATATATATTTAGAACGAGATTTTTGAAACCAAAGTATTTCCTCTTGAAAAGTAGTGACACTGTACTGATTGATGAGGTCCTTCTCTAAGGCCTGTAAATTGTGAGAGAAATTAGTAGTTTGGGCTCTTTGGATGCCTTCAATTCTAGCAAGTAAAAGTCTTTTCCTTTTAAAAATGTTGCCAAAAACTTCCTTGTTCCACACCGACACTTTGAGAGTGAATTCAGCTATGGACTTAAGGCCCCGTTTGTTTAGAGAGTTAGAGGGGGGATTGAGATTGGTAGTGAGGTGGGACCCACTAATATTGTGTTTGTTTTGAGAGATGAGGAGGGGATTGATAGTGAGCTCCCGATTAGGATGGGAACCCCAAGGGGATTCAGATAGGCCTCCAGGACTTAGTATTAGAAAAATAGTCTGGCGGACTAGAAATTTTTTGTTTTTATTTATTTTTTATTTTATTTTTTACATGTCGGAATTTTTTCTAAACATTAATGTTTAATTTTTTGTATTTTTTGTTAAGTAAAAATCATTATTTTATTTATTTTATTTTTTTCTGGAAATTTTTTATTTTATTTTAAATTTTTTATTTTATTTTTTTTAAATTTTTTACATGTTGGGTATTTTTATTAAAACATTAATGTTTAATTTTTTTGTATTTTTTTATTATTTTATATTTATTTTATATAAAAATAATTTGATAATCCCTACACTAATAACTATCATCAAAACAAACACAATTTTACTTAATCCCCTCACTATCAATTATCTCTGAAAACAAACGGGGCCTAAGAAGGTTGTTGTTCATATCTTGCCATGAGAAATTAATCACGTCTAAGAGACCAGAGTGGGACATCCAAGCAGCTTCAAACCTAAAGGGTCTGCAAAGGGGGTGTAAAGAATACATACCTTGGGTGTGGACTATCAATGGAGAGTGGTCTGAATATGTTCTGGGGAGCACTTGGACAATTGCTTCAGAGAACATTGTCCTCCAATCTTCATTGCACATAGCTCTATCAAGCCTCTCCATGGTATTGGCAAGGCCTTGTCTGTTATTTATCCATGTCAGTTTGGGGCCTGTGCTATCAAAGTCTAACAAGTTACAGTTGTTCGCCCTATCAAGAAATTTTTGGCTCCTTCTAGGGTTATGGTTTGTAGAGAAACTTCTTATATCATTCTGGCTACCATAATCATTAAAGTCCCCTGCCACCAGCCAAGATTTTTCCATGTTCTGTGCTACAGACTCAAGATCATCCCACAGTGTGTCTCGCCTATATGTATTCAATAGTAAGATTCATTAGTTTTCCAAACCGGTGTGATAAAAAAAGCCTGGCCAACCCATCCCAGCCCAGTCCAACAATCTAAAACTAAACTACAGGGCCTGCAAAAAATTAGGGATCAAATTAAAATTATAAAATATATTTGGGCCAAGATTGCAAAAGTCCAGTCCAACTATCTAAAACTAAACTAAAGGGCCTACAAAAAATTAAGGATTAAATTAAAATTATAAAATACATTTGGGTCAAGATTGCAAATAAAAAAAAAATTATCACTCGTAGTACTTGAACACATTGTCTATAATTGCTCTGAGAATTCTCTCTTGCTTGTCAATAGCTGAAGCAAGCGATTAGCGAACACCGGTGATCTCTACAGCGTCGAATCGACGACAATCTTCACTCTTCAGTCTCTTTCTCTCTCTTCTCTCTGTGCCGTACATCTAATTTATGTACCATAATAATAATCACGTATATAATTGATTTCATTTTTTTATATTTTTTTATTTGAGGGTTTTGCTTAATCTAGTACTTCCAAAATAATTAGGTGTTTTTCTTGCTTCTTAGTATTTGAAACGATTTGTAGTTGTTTTTTTTCCGTTCATTTGCCACCTCTAATTATATTTTTTTTTTTTTTTTTTTTTTTTAATTCAAACTTTGTCGTGTTTTTTGCTTAGATTAGATAATATCTTCAATTGTTGGTGAAGTTGTGTTGGATTGGATTGTAAACTACATTTTGCTAAATTATAAAACAATAAGACCAATTTTTTATCTTTTTGAGTTCCTATATTGATTTCTTCATGCCTTAGATCTCAATTTTAGTATATATAAAAAATTAATATTGTAGGTACTTGCCATTTTACCCATAGCTTTTTTTTTTTAATTTTTGGGTATGATAATGTAATAAAGAGCCTCTCAGGGCTAGATTTGAATCTTGGGTCTATCTTTTTTTTTTTTGTGTGTGTGTGAAATATAATATTAATTTGGATCAGCACACAATGTAAAAAGTACTGTAAAATTTTTAAGAGTAATGTTAGAGATCGTAAAAATTCTGTTAAAGTTTTTACTAAATGTCTTACATGGGCGTGAGATTCACACAATGTGGGTCTTATATGAGTCTCATACTCATATGAGACATTTGGTAAAATTTTTGGTAAAATTTTTAAAATCTCCAACATTTTTGAATTTTTAAATATATGTTTCCATTCAACATATATAAATGTAGCAACTATTGTTCTATGGGTTCGTTTGGGAAGTGGGTTGATTTTTTGACTTTTTGACTATTTTAACGCGGGGTTAAAAAATCTCATTTGAGAAAGGTTTTTTTTACTTTTTTTGACTTTTTGTCAGAGAAAAAATGTAATAATTATGAGTTAGATGTGATGTTTTGTCTGATTGGACAAAAAAATTTATTTTATCTTTTTGGACTAAATAGCTCCAAACCTAGTCCAACCTTTTTTTCCCAAATGATGCATATCTATTGTTAAAGTTGGTCATTTAGAGTTGTGTTTAATACTCTTTTATAACATGAAACGGATTCATAATAGAAGAAATATCAAAACGTTGAGCATATACACTATACAATGTTGTATTTAGCAATATCAATTATTTGCCATGGTGTTCTAATTGTCTAACAGTGAATAATTCAAGTTAACAATCCTCTTATTCCAGAACTAGAGACATGTGTTTTACCCTGCTCAAAATTGTAGCAATTAATTTAAAACCTTAAACATATAAGTAAATGATAAAATCATACACTATGAAGTACGGGTATTTCAAAAATGTTGTACCTAATCAACAAAATATTAAATTTAAATTTATGTTATATATTTTATTTTTGAAATATGTTCATAACTTTTCCAAAAGAAGATAAGATGGTAATATATGGTTGCACTCAATGAACAATGAAATTGAGTTTAGGATGATGTCTACTTGGTCTGCGTGGCTAGTATGATGATTGGGTCACAGCTCATTGTGGGGTTTTGAAGTGTGGCCACTCTCATCTCTAGTGTGATATTATAAAGTTTTTAAAATGATTGAAAAAAAAGAAAGACTTATTAGTATCAAGTATCGAATCTCTTTTTACATGCTTTATTATTCTTTGTTGTTTTAAATATTCTCTTTTTGAAAGACATTCAACATTCATTATTAAAAGAGATCAATAATATTATGATTCACAAAGTGTTTTGAAAATGAATTTAAAATTAAAATGAGTGTACTAAATTTCTTTTGTACCTAATCAACAAAATACTAAATTTAAATTTATGTCATATATGTTATTTTTGAAATATGTTCATAACTTTTCCAAAAGAAGATAAGATAATCATATATGGCTGCACTCAACTAACTGTTGCATAGAAGGGTTTTTTTTTTTTTTTTAGATGGATGTTGCATAGAAGTGTTGTTGGTCACTTTTTGCCATGAAATTTCTTAGCAATGAGTCATTATTCATTTAGACAACAATATAATCGTAACTCTCATGGATAGTCTAGTGGTAAAGGCACCTATGGATGAATCGGAAATATCTTAACTTTTAAGTTCAATTTTTACTTTCTTATTTTTTTAAGTGTTGTGCCTTATTTTAATTGATATACCTGATTTGCTTAATTGTGGATATCGAGAATTACTTTTTAAGAATAAGCCTAATGTGACCATAGCGGATAAATGAGTCAAACAATTAATTATGTAAGTTAAATTTAAAAACTTTGGTGTGTTTGGTAACGTTTACGTTTTCAGTTTATATTTACAAAAATTTTATAAACTGGTTTTTGTTTAATTTTTGTTTATTTTTAGAAAAACATAAACTACAAACGCGTTTGGTAATAATTGACAAAATATTTAAAAAAATTTAAAAATATAAACGTAAACGTTACCAAACACACCCTACCAAACGGCACCTAATAAATTTCAAAATTTATTTAAATTTAATTCGTTAAATTTTTGAATTGATTTTAAATGAGCTTTTGTCAAGCCAAACTCAAATAATTTGATATTTTTATATAGTTGAGAGGGTAATTTACAAGTAAATTGGACCGAGCTAGGTAATGGGCCGTTTTGTGGGCCGCAGTAAGAAAGGACTGAGTAAAAAGGCCTTGTAGTTAGCTCGATCTAAAAAGAGCCTTCAAGTTAGCTCGGTCACCACTGTCAGAGTGGTAGCAATTAGCTCGGTCATACCATTCTGGGCGGAAATGTTTTGAGCTTCCCTCAGGACCTTGCTCTAGATTAGCTCGGCCCAAGCTTGCTATGGTTAGCTTGGTCTCAACAGGTGAAATCGAGGTACAAGCTATGAAGGGAAGAACCGAGCTAGTTAGAGCTCGGTTACATTTGCCAGTTTAGCATGGTCATGTTAGCTCGGTCGTTTTGTCATACTATCGAGGTAAAACTATCTCACTTGGTTTAAGCACTGAGAGGGATGTTAAGAGATAAGCATTATCTTTTAAGAGTGTGATTCCTAGGAGGACTCTACATGGAGGAATAAGAGTCCTACTAGGATTGTGCCACGCGAAACCTATAAAGGCTCATAACATCACCTATGGAGAGGTAATACAACTTTGATTCATGAATTCACAGAGCTTTTGTGTCTATTGTCTATTGTGCTGACTTAGGCATCAGAGGGGTTTCCGGCACACACCCGCCGGTTAGCTCACGTTTGTGTTCTCAGGTGGCAAAGCGACGATGTTTCGAGGAGCGCAAGTTTGATCAATAGGACAATATGAGAAGAATTATTTCGTGCTCGTACAACTGGCGCCGTCTGTGGGACGATAATAAAGAATAAAACCTCTTAATCAAGCTTTCCTCTCTAGTTGAGATCAATGGCGCACAATGAAGACTTACCGCAGTCCACTATCGACGGACAAACCTCAGAGGGGGGTAGGAGGCGCGAAGGTTTGCCTTCTATCCCTCCCATGGCGGATTTAGAGCCCCAGCGACAGAACCCCCGGAGGGATGCAAAGGAAGGCGGGGTAACAGCCCCCGTCACTCTCAAAGCCCCAAAAGGCAGAGATGGAGGATTGATCCTCAGGTTTTGGAGGATTGCGTAAAGGAACATGATGAGTTGATACGAAGGATGGCGGCAGACATGAAGTTGATGAAGCGCCAGATAAAAGGAAAAGGGGTGGCGACAGGAGAGGGGCGCAAAGGCAGTACGCCCCCTCGCCACTCGGAAGGTCGTGGTAGACACACCACGCCATCATAAGTAGAGAGTAGGAGCCTTAGAACAGGCGACACTCAAACAAGGACGTCCCGGACTCGTTACTCCAGGTCTGAGAGAACGAGAACTGAGAGGCCATATACTGAAAGAAGAACCTATCGGCCCTCTCGCACGCACCAGACGTCATCCAGGTAGACGGAGTTGCCCAGATCGTCTGATTTGCAAACTGTGCTTGAAGAAAGGACACGGTGGAAGGAGAATGTCAGGGCACGCGACCCGCGCAGAGTTTCAGCCCTTTAGCGGTTAGCTCCTCGGACACACAGAAGCATCGAGGTAGGAATACCAATACCGCACCTTGCCTACAAACCAACGGACAAAGCATTAGCAAGGTTGCATAGCTCGCCGTTCGTTCCGGCAATTGAGAACGCGCTGTTACCTTCCGGCTTCCTTCAGCCTAAGTTTACGACTTACGAATGGAAGACAGATCCCTACATGCACCTAAGTCACTTTCGCCAGGTTATGGCAGTATACCGGCGGAACGAGGCTTTGATGTGCATTCTATTCCCATCCAGCCTTGGCGACCTAAGCTTAACCTGGTTCGAAAGGCTACCAGAAGGCAGCATCGCCTCCTGGGCGCAATTGGCCAAGGCGTTCATGACTAGGTTCAGAACGAATACCAAAACACCAGTGGAGATCGATTAGCTACTCTCCATTGACATGGGCTACAAGGAGACTTTGAGATCCTACAACAGTCATTACTGGGAGACCTTCAACCAGATAGGAGATTACCCCACCAATCTTGCT